AAATGACGAAAAACACTATATGTTCGGTGTTCAAAACACCAAAGTGAGTGATTTACTAAAAGAATAGGAAAGCGAGTGATTTACTAAAAGAATAAGCCCTCCTATTCAGCATTGTTACACTATCGGATAAAATGGCAATTAGAAGAAAAAAATACACCAGAGGGGTTGGTCCTCGTAATTTTTTCCAAAAAAGATCATCACATGGTAATAAACCCCCCCAAGACGTGTACATACATAAATTGCTAAAAAAAAACAAAAAACATAAAGGGAACTGTAGAGGTCCCCTTGACATTGACACTTACTCTTAGAGAGAAAAGATAATAATAATAATAATAATAATAATAATAATAATAATAATAATAACAATAATAATAATAATATAAAATTACATATATATCCGATATACTTTATGTTATTACGGTTACACCTAATAGTTTATGTTATTACTCATCTGTCCGTTTTTTATCTTTTATAACGCCTTTTTAAAAAGAGACACTTTTATCCTTTTTCGGACGTTCAACATCCGAAAACAGGATTTAAAAAAAACGTTCACTTTTCAATGATCCTTGGTTACTGAGCTAACATGAATTCTTTGTTTTTTATGGGATGATTTAGCTGCTTATGAAAGTTGGATTCTTATCTTTACAATGAAATGATTTGTTCCTTATCAATGTCGAATTCCGTTGAAATAATTTTGTTACTCATTAAAGTTGAATTCTTTAGTTTTTGGTCAAGGATGGTTACTTGAAAGGGGACTACTGTGTGTTTTTTTTTTTTATCCATGTAGGGTTTGGTTATTGTTTAGCTGAGGTCCATTGAAATGGACTTAGTGTAGTTTCACGTGCTTTTGGAATTGTTATTGATAAAAGAAGTGGACGAGGATTGCGCATATCTGGTTAATTACAGGATCTGTATAGTAGTTCTTCAAGTAGAGATATTAAATTGGATTTAAGAGTTGAATATGTGACTGTTTTTTGCTGTAGCTAATTATGGAAGTAGTTTAGTGGTTTTTTAATAACTCTTGGAATTCTTTAGTTATCTGTTTGACTCAAAGAATCAATTCTTTATTTGGCTACCATATTCACTGATTGATTGCAATTTTCAAGTATACGATCCTTAGTTGGACTAGCATAGCAATTTCATTTTAGCATTGTTCTTCTTTCATCAATGGATTGTAGCAATGTTCTTCTTCATCAATAGTATGTCCTTATTATTGTTTTGTTATCCAGCTAATTTTTATATGTGTAGCCTTATGATTAACATAGTGACCATATAGGATTTCAGTGAATATAGATCGTTTACATCCCGATGGAGGATATCTAAGAGGTCCTCATGACCTTAGTTTGTTGCAACTTCATCCAGAACATTACTCATATTTCATATGGGAGGGACATGTATATGCATATATTCATCTGCCCATTCTATTTATTTGTTAATTTTCAATAAATGGTAGTCTGGTTCAAACATCATATGAAAAGTACATGTATATATACAGATTCTAATATGTTGTCTCTTTGTTGTATTTTAGGAGAAAGAAGAAATTAGAATTGATGAGAAGAGTTGTCAATTAAATGAATGAAAAATAACAAGAGAACAAGTTTAGTTAGTTCATGCTTTTGGGTTGGGTCCATTGACTATCATTCGGCCAGGCCGAATTGATCATCCTTTGGTCGCAGCTAATATAAAGAGGTGGCGTTCTGAGACCAATACCTTTCATTTCAACATTCATATTGGTGAGATGACACTAACACTTTTTTTATGGATACGAGATATTAAGACTAGCTGTGGATGGCGATCCAGTCACATGTCGTCCTATCAAGTACTTGCGAAAGTTTATAGAAGATAATTTGGGTATAGTACTTGATGACAACTTGGCAAGCCTGAGGCATACATGGGTGAAGGCGAATTTTAGGGAATTGTCACCTGATGTAACCCCAGTTCAAGTTTATAGATATACTCGAGCATATTTGCTCTTCTTCATCAGTGTAACAATATTCGCTTATGCATCAGTTTCAACAGTGCCAACAAGGTACCTGCAGTTTTTCGAAGATATTGAGGGTGCCAACACATATGCTTGGGGTGCTGCAGCCCTTGCATTCCTCTATCGCTCACTTGAAAAAGCTTGTACTTTCAAGCGAAGACATTTTAGTGGTTCAGTCACTCTCATGCAGGTAACCATTTGTTTTGTATGACATAAACATAATAGTTTAAACTTCTTTTTTAATACATTAAATATTTATCATACTCAATTTATTGCAGTGCTGGTCATATGAGCATATTATGCATATGAGGCCCATATCGCATAGTATCCCTCGAAATATTCCTAGGGCTAAAAGATGGGAGCCACCGAAGAAATATCATGGCAATCCACATAACTTAATGCCTCCCATCAGACAAGAAATTGATAACCTCCAACCTAATGAGGTTAGTGTATAATTTGATATTGAATTCTTTAAATAGTATTTAAGTATTTGTAATTATTTTTATTGACTGATTGCATATCATATAACAGCTAATTTGGAATCCCTATTTCAACCATGATGAGGTCATTTCAAATGATAGGCAACATGCATTTCAAACTGCTTTGATATTTGACGATATTGCCGAGCCGTACATGCTAGACCAAGTATGTCTACAATTGGAGCAAAATAGGGCATTCTTAGGAATCCCTTAGTTGTTAATAAGAGGGCAAGCAAACAAGTTGGACAATGAGACTGGCGAAACATCAATGCAGATAAAATCGCTAACTGGTTGTCTCGCCATGACTGCATCATGCATGATATTCAATAAGATACTGATAATGGGTTGCCCTCAGAGGAGTACAAGGCCTGGTACAACTTGGTATCCCATCCTTTGATACATAATGTCGCTAACCAACCCAAAGACATATTGCAACCTCATATCCATGAAGAAGAAGAAGTGGTTCTTACTCATGAACTATAATATATAAATGAGACATCGAGGTTATGAGGATCATTTGGTACGTTTATATTGACCTATAAATTCTTATAGTATTTTATTTACTTATTAGTTCTATTCAATTGTTTAAATATGCTAATTATATAATCTTGTTGTGTAGGTTAGTGTAGTTCAAGCATCTACACTCATGTTAGTAGAGGCACTTACACTTAGACAGAAGTGGTACCTTGAAGTTCTTAATCGCGCTTACAACGCGTTTGAAATGTTGTCTAAGTTTGTGCTTGTGGATATGGGTGACGTAGAAGCCAGGATGGAGCATTTACAATGTCAATATAATGACGAAGTTGTACCTGACGAGGCTAGAGATGATGGAGTGGGTCAAAGTAGTCGAGCTGTAGAAGACCTAGCTCCCTCCGGACAACCTGCAGTTGAAGAACCCAGAAGATATAACACATGAAATAAAACAGTATCAACATAAGAGAAGGCGAGGCGTGTAATGGGTCATTTTGTAATTGGTCATTTTGAGGATCACAATTTTGTAATGGGTCATTTTATATGAAAAGTTATAATATTTGTATTATGACTGCTCACTAAATATATTACAGAATCTTTAGTATCACTCTTAATATCAATGTGTGTTGTTGTCCTTATGGGCCATCTTGAGAAGATTTGAAGTCTTGGTGAAATTTGATTGTTAGTGGTTGCATATGTATATTGAGTTTAGCATCATATCACTGCCAAGAGCTATCCAGTATACATTCGATATAAGATTAATGGGATTAATTTAACATTATTTACATTACTTCTTGTGATTAATGGTGGTGAAAATAACAGCTACTGTGCATCCAAAATCATAAAATCAACAATGAAAACAATTGTGATAGCTTTAAAATAAGAAAATAAAATTCATATCCATACATCCAGAAATGAGTTATTCTCATGTCCATGCATCCAGAAATGATGTCCATTTTTTTATCATGTCAATGCATCTTGATGTCCATAATCAATGTGATGTCTAAACAATTTCGGATGTTCACTGTGAATATCCAGGAAGCTCCCAGATATTCACAGCGACTTTTTCAGATGTTCAACATCCGAAAATCTCATATGTTAGGATATTCAACATCCGAGAACTCACTATGAAAATCCAGGAAGTAAGTATTCAGATGTTTAACATCCGAAAATATTACTTTTTCGAATGTTCAATATCTGAAAATGGTACTATGAAAATCCAAGAAGCTCCTGGACTTTCACAATGAGTTTTCGGTTGTTCAACATCCAAAAAACGTAATATCTTCGGATGTTGAACATCCAAAAACTTACTTCCTGGAGTTTTACAATGAATTTTCGGATGTTGAACGTCCAAAAACTTAATGTGAGATTTTCACAGTGAGCTTTCGTATGTTGAACATCCGAAAATATGATATTTTCGGATATTGAACATCTGAAAACTCACTGTGAATATTGAGGAGCTTCCTGAATTTTTACAGTACGTTTTCAGATGTTCAACATCCAAAAATATTATTTTTTCGGATGTTGAACATCCGAAAACTCATTGTGAAAATCCAGGACTTTCCTGGATTTTCACAGTACCATTTTCAGATGTTGAAAATATGAAACTATGTCAATTTCGGATGTTGAACATTTGAAATTGTTTAGACATCACATTGATCATGGACATCAAGATGCATTGACATGATAAAAAAATGGACATCATTTCTGGATGCATGGACATGATAATAACTCATTTCTGGATGTACGGATATGAATTTCATTTTTCTTATTTTAAGGCTATCACAAAGATTTCCAATATTAAAATCATTTATCTTGACACAAAGATTAACAAACTCATCCATTAGAAGATTTATGGCAACACAGAATTCCGATTGCACTGACACAAATTTGACAACAAAAACACAATGTTCACTCAATTCCCCTTGCCCCCTATTCCATTGCTGAAAAAGGGGCCTCCTCTTCCACAGATGGGATTGTCCGATTGTAGCTCGACGCGCTGCTTCAATGGCAATTAATTCATGAAAATCATAATTCCATACAAGAATACAATATCAACATCAAGTTCACTATATCGGTTCTTTGCATGTCCTCCTATTATGACCCTCAGCGTCGCATCGTTTGCACTTCAAAGGCCTGGTGATCGGATGTTCCGTCTCGGATATTCTTCGTTGCTTTTTTAGCCTACCGGGAAAGCGTGTAGTCCTTGGTGGCAACACTGTCCGGTTGTAAATACCTGTCAACTCAATATCATCCGGGACAGGTGCAAAGGGAGTTTCAAATGCCCTTCTAAAGTATTCCACTGTAAAATACTTAAGGCAGTACAAAGTGGGATCCATATGCATATGGTTAATGGCCGCAATAGCATGGGCACACGAAATGCCACTGAGTTGCCATTTTCTACAAATGCATGTCCACTGCATTAAATTGACAGCGTACTTCTTCCCAAGATAGTGGATCTCAAAAAACGTGTCCATGGTGAATATAACTTTGTGCAAAAATCGAGCCGTCATCTTTCGCGTATCAAGTAATTCTTGAGGCTTCGGTACTAACATGCCGCTCCAAGTATTACCTAATTCCCTCTTCTCTTCAAACCTGGTCATCAACTGTATCCTTATTTCTTCACATATTGTAATGATTGGCTTCTCTCGAGCAGATAAAATCCAAGCATTGAAAGACTCGGCCATGTTTGATGTAAGATGACTGTATCTAGACCCTAGAAAATAAGCATCTGCCCAAAATTTGGGTGGAATATTCTTAATCCAATCATATGCTTCTAGGTTAGCACACTGTATATCAAATATTATTTTTTCAAACCCACCAATGGTCACTTTACGAGCAGCATTCCAAAACAGCATCGGCAATACTTCAATATTTGTTGACCTCTTCATAAAGCCCTTGAAGTTCTCTCCCATATGTCGCATGTAAAATGATGGAAAACATGTTGGAAAGCATTTTTCTATTGCTTCTGATAGGGTTTTCTGTCGATCTAATATAATGGTTAAGGCAGGCAAATTAGGGTACCCATTTAAGAGCTCACTCAATATACTTAAGAATCAATACCAACTCTGGTAATTCTCCTTCTCAACCACTGCAAATACTAGTGGGAAGAGCCCATTATTTGCATCTACCGCGATAGCACATAATAAAATGCCTTGATACTTTCCTTTTAGAAATGTTCCATCAATACTAATTAGTGGCATGCATCCATTGACAAACCCCATAATGCATGGACGATAGATAATGAATAGTTGTTTGAACCTGCCTTCATCTGTGTGGATGCGAACTTCGGTTCTCGGGTTGGTTCTTCTGATCTTCTCAATATACTTCTCAATATACAGAGGGAGGTCATGATATTATTGTTCATGTGATCCATCTATCATCTCTCTAGCAACCTCATTTCCCTGCCAAGCTTGCATGTAGGAAAGCCTGACCTCGTGATCATGTTGACTATTCTTTACAATGTCTTTTGCTTTAATTTTTGGTTAGTCAAGAAGGCGGCCTTTAATCTTTTTTGCCACCCAATCTCTACGAGCTAGTGGCTGATGGATCCTCCCCATTGGACCACTACATATGTGTTCCTTAACCATAGACTTCACTTTAAAGTATGCGGTGTTGCCAACTCGTAAGCACCGCACTTGCCATGTGCATCCATCTGCCTTGCAACTTGCCCACACCAGTCCTAATTCACTTTTGTCAAACTTCAAAACAAAATTGTTGTGGATTGCAAAATCAACTAGATGATGCCGACATTCATTAACATTTTCAAGAAATTGCCCAACATTCAATTGAACCTTGTTACCAACTCATCTACATGGACCTCTAGTGGTTCAATGTCTTCTATATCACGCTCTGGTACGAGCTCAGGGTTGGGCACCACTCCAATGTTTTGATCTTGCTCAGGTAAAGTGTTATGCCGACTGTTGACAAAAGATAGAGTGTAAGATGAAGCAACAATTTCTACACATATAAGATTAAAATAAAACAACTTACTGATGAAAAAATAAATTGTAGATATACATATTCCTTGAAGATGGCTCATCAGCAACAAATTCTTGTTGTGCCTCGGCAATATATACTACAATTCTCGAAGATTTCCCTCCCAACATAAAAGATACATCTATATAATCACTAACATCAATCAAATTAAGCCCACTAAATAAACTTGTGTTGTGGTACATAATAACTAATTTGTTTGGATCACGCTTGGTTAAATATGCAAAATGACATTTTAGTTCCTCCAAGGAAGTATTCCCGTTATACTTGGTGACCTTCAATTTACCTCCTTTATAAATACACGTCCGTCATCTGCATTCGTCTCAAACGACCCCCCATATCGGAATACCAGTTGCACTCCCTCAATAGCCATCGTCAATACTACTATATTAAATGAAGAACAAAGTTACTGTTATCAAAAAATCAATACAAAAAAATTACCAAAAATTGGTATATTTCTAACTACTTTAGGGTTCATAAAATCTAAGTATTCCATAATACATTGAAATAGTGTACTACTAAAATTATCAGTAGCGATCGTCAATACTCATGTATTGAGTGAATAGCAAAATCAGTGTTACAAAAAAATTGGGATATTTCTAACTACTTTAGGGTTCATAAAATTTGAGTATTACATAATAGATTGAAATAGTGTGTGAGTAATACTCACATAAACACAAAATAAACAACAAATTTTATTACAAACAAACAAGTTTAACAATTATTTCGCCAAAACAAAGAATACAATGTATCAACATGATACAAACAACAAATAATTATATAAAAAAACAACTTCATCAATATTAAACAAATTCCATTTCTTAATCTCAAATACACAACAAATGTTATTAACAAAATTAAATATTCTAAATAATAACAGATAAATAAACTTTAATTAATCAACTGTATAAAAAAAGAGTAAGAACGGTACAAATCACATCCAAATAGTGAGTCAATCTCTTCAACTTTGTGAGTTACTCTATTAAGGACAGTAAAAGGGGGTATGTTCTTGTAATGATCGGTTTTTCTCAACTTTATAAAAATGAACATATATAAGTTTCCGCCGGTGCGCAGGAAGTCTTCGCGTGCAAAATTTCGGATGTTTAACATCCGAAATTCTCAACCTTTTGGATATTCAACATCCGAAATTTGTAAGTGGCAGTTCTAGCTGGCTGTTTTTGGATGTTGAACGTCCGAAATTTTCATAAAAATCGGATGTTGAACATCCGAAAAAGGGCAAAAGTGTATGTTTTTTAAAAAATGTATTATGTAATATAAAAGACAAACAGATGAGTAATAACGGAAACTATTAGGTGTAACCGTAATAACGTAAAGTATAACAGATATATATGTAATTTTCTCTAAAAAAAAAACCTATAGTAATCATTACATTGAATTTAAAACCTTGCAATTTTCGATCCAGATTGCTGGTTTAGATAGGACTTGTTCGAGCCTGAGCCAATTTTGGAATGCTATGGGTACTAGCCTAGTTCCGCCATCTGAATTACATCTTCATGTAAATAGTAATTTATTCTTTGTGGATCACAGTTATTCAACCGGCAATTATGGAAAGATATCTAAATCATTGTTTTAGATTTCATGTAGCTTGAAATATATTCACAAGTTTTGTGTTGTAAAATGTGTTGGCTCACCAATATTGAATACCGAACATCTCCTGTAATGCTAGCACTATCCAACCTCTCCCCTAAACTCATGTCCAAGCATTATGGTTCCATTCATGAACCACAACTTCCACCATGCCACCCTTGCCCACGTACAAGCCGGCCACCGGCCTCCTCGGTTTCCAATGGTGTCTCGAAACCCGTTATTCTTCCATTCACAAATGGCATTGTGCCCAGCCCCACCCCTACCCCTGCATTGTCCCCAGCCCCACCCCTCCCACCGCCCTCTCCCCCTCCTCGCCCCACAGACTCCGACCACCCTTACCTGGCCACCCCCTCCCCGCCACGTAGACTTCGACCCAATGCTCAGATAATGCCCCTGCCCCTGCCGTCCCCTCCCTCGCCGCCGGGATCCTACCAATGAACCTTCAACTGTGCATTGCTCTATCATATGGATCGCTTCTGGTGCACCAGCGCACACTGTGCATTGCTCCATCCATATGGATCGCAAATACATATTGAACCATTACCACAGCAGCGACAATATTTTTCATTCCTGGACACCAACAACAATCGTATACATGAAATGGAAGAGCTAATCTGAGGTCACAGCTACGCAGTTGTAAATTGAAAATTTTCTTATGAGAGCCGAGGCCAGTACCCAGTACATGTTAGAAGTAAATAGAAAGAAGGCTTATTTTTGTGAATTTATAATTATGCACACAAAAGAGATCAAATTAATACAATTTCTTCAATCTTTTTTAGTACAAATACATAGTAAATGGATATATAGGCCTCTTAAGAGCTTTCTAGACTCTTTCTAAACCTTTCTAGTGAAGTTTTTCCCCTCTTGACATACACCTTATTTTGTTGGACGAAGTTATAAAAATACACAAGAAAATTCTAGACTTTACTCATTCCAAATTCAAATTTTCATGCAATGCATGCTTTGGAATCCTCTCCCTCAATCTTGAAATATTGACTTTGGAACTCTACAAAATTTTGGTACAACATTCTAAATACTTGCCCTACATATAAATTTTCCAAAATATCCATTACATTTGAATGCAATGCCCAAAATACCATTAATCAAAATTAAGCTTATTTCTAACATTTGCTTAAGCTTGATTTTCCAACTTGGTCAACTCTCACATAAATTTCAATTTTTGAAACATTTCATATTTGAGGGATTTTGTTAAAATATCGGCAACTTGATCTTACATCTTTGTGTAAATAAGTTCAACCTTTTTCTCTTTTGGTCTCGGATTAAATGGAACCATGTATCAATGTGCACGCTTCTCTCATGAAACACCCGGTTTTTTGCCAATGTGATTGCCGACTTATTATCTACATGAATTTTGCTGGGAGTCTCTTGAGCCTTTAGATTTAATAGCCACAATTAACGTAGGACAAATTGGGTGGTTATAATTCTAACCACTCGGTTAATCGGAACCGGCCACTGGCCTTTCGGCTGCTTTTGATGAACCGGCTAGTTATTTTTTAAAAATTCAAAAAATTATATAAAATCCTAAAAATATGGGATTTTTTTTAAATGCATTTTTAAATTTTTTTTTCATCATTTTTGGTAAAAATTGGAATTTTTTTTAGCCATTAATACTTATTTTTACATTTTTTTCATCTTTTTTGAAAAAATACCCCTGAGAACAAATCGATTCTTTAAAATCCATTTTTTTCATTAGTTTTCAAATTCATTTTGAAGTAATTTGTTTAATCATGCTTTAAATATCCTTTTCATATTTTTATTAAATTTTATTATTTTTTTAACACTTTTTTAATCACTCGGGACTTGCTCGGTTAGGTCAGTTGAATCGCTTCCGGCACCACGTTTGGTTAACCGTTCCGGCTTGATTTTTCCTACACTGGCCACAATACATGACAAGTACTTGATGTGGCGGCTATGTACTCGACCTTACAAGTTAATAGTGTCACGATCGATTGCTTCTTCGATGACCATGTGAATGTCATACTCCCCATGTAGAACACATACTCGGAAGTGTTTTTTTATTATCCAAGTCTCCGACCCAATCACTATCAACAAAACCTACAAGATAAAAAATTCCATGTTCTTTACCAAAATTTTGGAAAGTATTTGAATTTTATTATTCACATCTATCCAATTTTATCACTTTAATTTGAAAACCACTTTGTTTCTCTACAAAAGCTTTGAATTCCTTAAATACTTCCAAAACTTCCGATTCTTGTTTAAGAATATAAACCCATGTTTTGCTACTATAATCATCGTAAAGGTTAAAAAATATTGACTTTTTCTAAGTGAG